TACCCTTTCCCTCAGCCTGCTGTCCCAACAAAAGAATTGCAATGTTGCCTGTTTCTACTAAGCAAGAGATAGAAGAAAGCCCCCTCCCCTTTTTCCTTTGCCCCTGTTACCTGACCTGGGCCGGAGGCTTCTGCGCTGCCCTGTCCAATATATGTGGGAGGCAGTATGGAAACCAGGGAGCTCGCCACCATGTCATTCCTCAAGTCCCCAGGACTCTGAGCAGGCTGCCTCTTCCTTTCCGCATTCAGTTTCCCATGCGTGTCTGCTGTGTTGTCTGGCAATTTTTAGTTATAATAGAAAGTGCCTAGGAGGAATGGGGCCACTTCATTTTCATGGGTTTTTTTTAAAGGTTAATTCTTTTGTGTACTCTGAAATTGTGGGATCTTTTACTAATCCATCCCTAAGTCCTTTGGATTGTGCCTGCTAGTTTTTGAACATTTTGTTACTTTGTGGCACAGCAAGATGTCCCAGTTAACTTGTCCGTAATTTGCTATAAAGCTCAAATTAAGCATTTTTCCAAGGCTCACTTTATAGAGAAAAAGTATTTAGTATCCATAATATAGGCACTAGATGTGCTCATTGCTGCTGGGATGCCCTGTGCAGTGGACAGAGCCAAGAAATATAATTATTAAACATTATTATTTCATACTGATGCCTCCCATTCATATTCCATACCACAGGGTTTTTCCTCAGCTCACCTCACCCTTCTCCCACATGAAAAGTCTGGTTCCCAAAACATCAATTCAGTACTCATTTGCTCTATCATAGCCATACACCCCTAATATTTTCAAAATTACTATATTCTCACAATTACTAAAAAAAGAGAGAAAAAGAAACTGCAAGCTACTAAAGTTAAAGCTATCTTTGCAGTTACTTTTTCCTCCTAGAATATATTGTACTACAGTAGAACAGTCAGGAACTATGGTCAAAATATTCGTTAATTAATTCTTTATTCTATGTAGTTTAGTTGTCAATTTATACAAAGATGGATTTCCTATGTTTTAATTAAAATTAAAATTTAAGGTTTCCTTTTTCAAACTTAAAATTTAATTTAATTTTTGAATTTGTGAACATGCATTGTTCAAAACTCAAAGCTATATAAAAAGTTCTATTTAAACAAATCCCATTCCCATACCTATACCACCCACCACATTCCCAACCAGCTGTATGGATGATCGTGTTCATTTGATTCTGATTTATTTATAGTGTTGGTTTTGCAGAAATTGGAATATATGAATAAATGCATATGCACACACAGCCCTGTTTCATGTATCTCATGCAAAGGTAGAATACTACATAATTTCTTTTGCACCTTGTTAACTTTACCTAATAATATGTCTGGAATCCCAGTAAAATAGTTAATGGACACCTTTGTCGTTGATTTTCATGACTTTTTAGTACCTCGATTTTTTGCTGCACTATTGTTTATATACAAGTAGTCTTCAGTACATGGACCTTTCCATTATTTCTAATAATGTGCTATATAAATAATGCCCAAATGCATATTGTTTTATACTTGAGCTATTTATTTAAGGTGTATTTCCACAAGTAGTATTGATAGGCAAAATGGTAAATATATATACCATTTTACTGTATTTTACAAAATCTCCTTCATAGGGGTTGTAACATTATACACTCCCATTTCTTTCCAAGGACAGTGTCAGTTGATATCTAATTCAATATACTTAAAGTTATAAATGCCTGTGCTAACAGAGATTTTTATCTTTTATACATGGTAGCACTAAAAGCAATTACCTGTTGTGTAGCCAGTAAGCATGTTTTGGATAATTGACTGATTTTGTATTTATTGGTTTAAATTATTGTTAATGTTTCATAAATGTATATCTATGCATTTGTAAATATTAATTACTACAATCCAAATTTAGATTGTTGGCTCAAACAGGGTCTCAGTAATATCTATTATTTGAGTAGTTTAAATTAAAATTCCAAGGATTTATGAGTAGATTTTACGATGTGTTTAAAATATTATAGGGATAACCATATATAATGTTAGATATGTTCTTCAAAAGTACCATTTTAATCTCATCTTAAAATGTATTTTGAAAAATAATCATCTGAGAAATTTCCCATTAGAGGAGAGTTTTGATTTTGTTTCAGTCTTCGCTGATATTTTTTTCTCTTAAATGTCACACTGAAGTGTAATACCTCTTTATATTTTTATTAGATCGGGAAATGCCCAAGAATCTCACCCTTGGCATTCAGTGTGATAGCTTCCTCATTGAGACTTCTGCCTTCAAGCTTGGTTTGGAACACACACAAGGTACAGGATTTCTGCCTTATATTCTGTCATTCATTATGCTATCACATTTTAGAGAAGAGGAAATATGTATGTTGTCTAAATAAATATTTGATAAAAATTAAATATACAAATTTAAAAATTTGACACGAATTTTAGTAAGTTGATAGAAAAACATGGATGGTGTAATCTTTATGCATGTTCATTATATCTTCACAATTTTTCTTTCCATACCACATAAGTACAACTTGCAAAATAGTTGAATGTCATACCATGTAATACATAAATGTGTGAGGCAAAGATGATTTTGGAAAATTAAAAACAACTAGTGCACTAAATACTCATACTTATGAAAAATAATTGCATCTTTGCAAAGCTAATGATTCCTTGAAAAATTATCATAGGGTGTACATCTAGTTTTACTTATATTAATATCATTCCATCTGCATATTGATGAATAGGCAAAAAGTCTAAAGCATAAGAAATAATTAAGTTGCTTAAAAATCAAAAGCCCCCAAAATATGAATGTGTTTAAAATAATGTTTTAAAATAATGTTTTTTTAAATTACAAAAAAATCTAGTAATAGTTATGTAAATATGATAAAATAGGAATTATCTTAACATATCTTAATGCGGAACTACTAACTGAAATCAGTAACCACTACTAACATCCCAATACAAATGGGTTCATGACTTTCTTTTAGATTTACTGTAGTGATTTCTGTCAGTATCCTAAATCTCATTAATTCACAACTCTTTGGTGTGTTATTATTATTATCATTGAATCAAGGAGATTGCAGTTCAGAAACATTAACTTACAATTAAATCAAAACAGTTGCTGAATGGCAAAGCTGAACCTCTTGTGTATGACTTCAAAGTCTTTATTTTGTATTTCTTTGCAATACATTAAAAGGAGTATAAACAGTAGTTCAAAAAAGAAGAAGTACAAATGGCCAAAGAATGATTGAAACTATGTTCAACGTCACTAATATTTAAATAGTTTTTGATTTAAATGATAGCCACCTAAGCAGTCCCCCCATTATGATATAATCACACTGTAGCACTAGAGAACAAGGTGCTGCTTTACAAGTCTACATATGTATAAAATTAGACTAGGACCTTAGGAAGGCAGCCAGGACACAGGGATCACGCCTTAGACTTCTTAGTCTGGGAATCTGTGTTCTGGTTTTGACTGGTTTCTACTGAAACTGTGTTAGTTTGAGCTATTTTCTGTACTCTCTAAACCACATTTTGGACATTATAAAGAATGAAAGTCAGTTTTACCTAATAGGATGTTTTTTTGAAGAACAAATGCAATTGTGTATGTGAATAAATTTCTAAACCCTATTATTATATATAAGTATGGGGTATTAGTATTATTTGTACTGGTGAAAATAGATAAACACAAAGATGGACTCTTGATTTTTTTTTGTTTTGTAAAAAACAAGACCTAGCACATTACCAGTATATGCCAGGGAATATATTTCTGCAAAATGAATAAAAAAATAAGTAGCAGTTATTTTGCTTCTGAAATCCATTTGTTTTCTAGGTGAAATAATTACTAGACAAATGATTTTAATTTTCATCAATTACTTATTGATTAGTCTTGTTACCTTGGTGAATACCAGTTTCTTTGAAATAGATTTCTTATAGAACAATAGATATCTATTTCTGTATTTACATTTATATCTACATTTTAGAGTATCCAACTTTGTAGATATATCTATATTTTTAAAGTAATCCAACCGTGTTTTTCCTTTTCATATCCCTAATCCTTTATATACTCTATTTTATTCAACATTTTCATTTTAAATATATCACCAAATTTCAGTTATTCATTCATATTCCACAAATTTTGGCACACCTTTGTGTCACCTAAATGATAACTTACTTAATAGTATTTTAATGGAAAACAGTGTCACTTGCCATGAGCAATAGCAATGTACTCTTTGCCAGGGACTATTTAAGCACCTTATAAATAGTAATTGACTTAGTCCTGGCAACCGTATGAGAGAGATTCTAATAACACCCCCACGTTAGAGATGAGCATACTGACACTAAGACATGCAGGAGGTAGGTCCAAGGTCACCCCCCCGGCATATGCTGGAGCTTGGGTTTGAATGCAGGGCTTGGGCTCTTACCCAACTACTCAATACTGTCATAAACAGAAGACAGCTGTAAAACATCAGTCAATCAATAATGAAATAAATATTTAAAACATCTGTTCAAGTTTCACTAAGAAGTATTTTAAGTGTCTCTGTTGCAAAACAGTTTTCCTGGGAAGCCATCTCTGGGAAGGAGGTCGGTGTGCAGGAAGTTGATTAGGGAGAAATGCTCTGGTGGTCTCCCCCCTGGGGGAAGACAAGACAACAGAGAGAGAAGGTAGGTGAAGGTTTCAGCTACAATGTGGCAAGCACTGAAGTTAGGATAGCTCTTCAGAGTTGCCCCCCCCCTGCAGTCATCAATCCATCATTAAGTGCAGTTTGCCCTAGAAAGGACTTGGCCCTTGGTCAGGTGACCCTCTTCAGCTGAAGGCAGTTCTCATAAAGAGCCAGTATCTAGGTGCTGTGTCCTGGCGAGCATCTCGATAGCTTTGGGGCATAAAGTCATGAAGATATATTCCTCTTTTTACTAGAAGCATTATTGTTTCCTTTTCCTGATACACACTTCAGTAATTTTAAATGTGACATGCAGGAGTCAAGGTCCATTTTACCCCTTATGAATACCAGATTGTCCTAGCACCTTTTATAGAAAAGGCATCCTGTCCTTCACTTTTCTCCCAAATTCAGTGACAGTATGTTTATGAGCCTGTTTTCGGACTCCCTCTTCAGTTCCAGTTGTCTGTTCTTCTGTCTTTACATTAATATACTGTGTTCACTATTACAGCTCTATGGCATGCCTGGATGTGGTAACATGAATCTTTCAAAATGTTCCTGTTCTTTAAGATTTTCTTAGTTATTGTAGATCTTTTGCACTTTCATAAGAGTATTCGAATCAACTAGTTGATTTCCAGACAGACACAGACACACAGACACACACGCATACCCCTGCTAGGACTTTTATTTCAACTGTATTGAAGCTATACACTGATATGGGGGCAACTAGCATGTTAGAAATATCGAGTGACTGAGTCTTTCAGTCTAAGAACATGGTACCCCCCTCCATTTATCCAAGTGGCCGGCTGTCTTCAAGATTTATTTTAAGGCCCATCTTATGCCCACGGATTTGACACGCCAGCATTGTAACAGACTACACTGCCATGTGTGCTTGGGTTCTTCCTGGGGTATCTTTACTATTCCTCTGAGTCTGTCTTAAAGACCAGAATCGCACCGTTTTCATTAGAGAGGCTTTTACTGCGCTTTAATGTGTCGAGGATGCCTTTCTCGCATTACTTTCCCTGTTCAGAGTTTTATTGGCTATGCTCCCCTCTTTATTTATCCATCTGAACCCTGTACTCAATTTGACTGCCTCCGGAAAAACCCTGATAGAATATTTATTAGGATTACTTTAAATTTATCATTTAAATGATAGCTGTTCATGTAGGAATAAATGACCTTTCTGTGATAACTGAAACTTTATCAATATTAATTTTATGTATTTGCATTAGTTCATCAACTTTGTGTCTTCAGAAATGTTCAGATCTTATTTTTAATACTTTTTACATGTGTTCTAATGATCAAATTCTGCTCAAAAACATTTTAGAGCACCTTTCAAAAATAGTGATAGTATTGACAATATATTTCATTCTTTTTGTGCTTTAAAAGAGACCAAAAATATGCAGTTTGCTGTCATAATACAAGCTACTTTTATGATTATTTATACTTAATTTTTTTAATTTATGATTTTAAATGTGACAGCTCACTATTATATTTTCTCATTGCTTCCTAGATAACATAAAGGCTTTCCTTAAAACTATAACAGTTTTCTTTGCTGAAGAAGAGAAAACCTTTAATCATTTTCATGAGAAAGATTAATATATTTAAAAGTATTAATATATAATAACTATTATATCACTTTAGTACTCTTGATATTCCATAATATAATGGCAAACAATTAGCACACTATTCAAAACATTTTATGCAATGTTAATAATTTCTGTAAGGGCTAAATTGTATCTTTAATCTAAAAGAAAAGATTTAGAGCCTTAATTTAGATTGTTGTCATGGGAGTACTTACAATACCAGGGAATCCTTTCTGGTTAGATAAAGATTCCTGGCAGAAAAGTAGAGAGAGAGGATACATTTGACCATGTTGCCCTATTTCACTTTAATTTTTTTCTTTAAAACATCAGGTCTATATTTTTCCACATAATTTTATACATATAATTAAAACTAAACATATAATTTTAGTTAGTGTCATTTTCATGTAACTTTAAAATTTTTCAGTTTTCTATTTTAGCTTTAAATATAGATAGAGCGAAATGTTAGGTGTCATCCCCCTTTCTTCTTTGAGAATGAATGTCTGTTGTCAACATGAAGCTCTTCAATACATCCTTTGACTTCCAGGAAGCAGAACTTGCAGGCATAACATTGCTGTCTGCATTTAAATTTCTGTAAAATGTATTTTCATAACTTTTCCTCATTTTAAATGATATTACATTGTTATTACATCTACCATTAATTTTTACAACTTTTTCATATTATCCAGCTCTTTCTAGGAAGACATGGTTATTGCCTTTGAACTTAAATCCTAAAATACATATTCTTTGAGTATGTAATGTCTATAGACTGTAACAAGGATTCCAAAATTAAAATGACAGTAATATTAATAATGAAAGCAGTAGCAACAACTAAAGTTATTCTATAAATTTATATATCCCTCTACATGTAGAAAATGCTTTGAGACATAATTTTGGCTTCACATTTATTATCTAGATTAATACTGGATTAAAAACACTTTTAATATCTCCCTGAGAGATATTTCTTCTTATCTATTATTTATTGTATTTGAGTAAAGAATTTTTCCCATTTTTTTTTTGTTGTTGCAATTTTATGGTACAATAGCCCTGCCTTTTATATCCTGAC